GTCTCACTTCCTTGATCAAATACATGGCTTGAGTTACTTCCAAATCAGTAGGAAATGTAATAGGTTTTGATTCCTGTCTGCGTTAGCTTCGGTATTATTTGATTCCATAGGAATGTAAAGACAGATTTTCACAAGGAAAGAGTTGGATTAACAACACTATGCATAACCTCACTGTGAAATGTAGCTATCTATCTATATGGAATGATAAATGCTTTCGGTTACTATGTTATTGTGTTCGCGTTATACACAAATTGGTTGCACGTTACATTTTATGAATCTCATGTTCGCCGTATGTTTCAACTACTACAATGTATCAGGGTCATTGTTACAATTTCTTTTTTGGTTTCTCTAACAATGAGTGTTCTATGTTTGAAATTTACAACAGGATGGTTGCATTGTGTGCCCATCAACGGATAGTACATTTGATCTCAGAACTGGAGAGATCCGGGAATGGTACCCGAAAAACCCGGTTCTCAGAGTCTTGACACCTGCACTGAGAAAACTATTTGTATACCCTGTCAAATTTGATGAAGAAAACATCTACATCAGCATTAGAGGCAATGGAAAATCCGAGGCAGCTGCCGAAATCGTCTTCAGTGGAAAAGCTCAGCCTGGACTCACAGCAACAAATGTCAACGTTGACGAGGTAAAACAAAAAGATAGGCCTCAAATGTAAATCTGTTTCATCTAGAAAAAACAAAACCAAAGAGTGATGATAAATTTGTGAAACAGGTGAGAATGGTGGTGGACGAGGGCTCTGAAGGATTCGGTTTCTCGGTGAAGAACGAAGTTATAAACGGGAAAGCGGCAGTGATAGGGTTCTTGCTGCTGTTAGATTTTGAACTACTGACAGGTAAAGGTCTATTAAAGGGGACAGGATTCTTGGACTTCCTTTACTCTGCTTCAAATGCTTTCAAGTAGAGATATATGTAAAGATATCTTTGGTTTGGTTTTGCTTACCTTCTTGTGCAATTTGTGGAAAGCATTACCTAAATGGAAAAACAAAATACTTCAGTAATGACTCAACACCATGTCTTAGTATATAGAGATGGCTGCTTTCTCATTTTGTTTGTGTGTTTTACCTCTTATACGATATATTCTTTGTTCTATATGAGTTAATATTATTATCTTCAAGCTTTTATGCTGTGTTTTACATACCACACTTCGAATTTGATTGGATACAAAAAAAGATAGAAAATTTGCAGATACTGTTGAAAATTTTCCTTGTCATCAGTAACAATGCCAGACCATTGGACTATAGTCTTCATTTTTTTTTTCATTGATGTTAAATATTACATTGTCCATTTGATAAAATAACTTTGGGAATTACAGCTGCTTAGCTAATTGGTCTACTTGAATATTTGCACTGCGAGAAATCTGCTTAAACGAGAAACCACATGTGTCGGAGACTTTCATAATATCCTGTAATTGGATAGCAAATGGTAGATGTTTCAAAGCGTGTTAATTTAAATTGATGCGGTAATGTTAAAGTATTTGATATAGACATTGCATATCACCATATAAGGTAACTGAAACACCCGGTCTATCTAGACCGCGGCCAAGGCGTTCGTATCAGAGAATGCTTGTTTAGGAATAGGTAGATGTTCGGGAAGAAAAAAAACGTTGGATTGCATCACAATGAAGATTAAGTGAATAGTCTGAAGAGGACTTGTTTTGGAGTTTGTCATGTACTAGTCGAATGTAATACAAAGAGTACTTCAAGAAACAGAGCATACTTCAATAGTGGTACAGAAGCTCAGTTGTGTGATTTGTGAAGAGGAGCTCATGTGTTGATATTCATAAGCGTTGGTTGGGTTAGAAAAAGGAAAAATATATTTACTTGGAGGAAAAAGAGAAAGAGATTTGAAGAATATATTTTAGGCAAAAGAAAGCAAGGATAACTACAAAGAAAGAAAGTTTCTTAGGGTTAATCATTGCTCTATAGGTATATATAGAGGGAGGCTCGTGGCTGGAGTTTTCTTATGCCTTTGTGAAGAAAAAATACAGAGAGTTTTTTTTAGAGAAGAAGGCATCTTCGT